TCTACGTTTTTTCCTAAGGTAAGAATTCAATTAACCGGTGCCAGAAGGACAACACTACGAGAGTAGAACCAAGGAACAATAAAAACCAAATCCATATACCATTTCTAGGTAAATTTAAAATCAAGAGATGCCACTTGATTTTGGTTCCATTTGTCTACGTCATAATATAAAAACACATTATTTAACAATGCCTACAATTTTCTACATGTAAATATCGTTATGTGCTACTAGGGTTGCATCATTTCATCTCCAAATGTCTAAGAAGATAACATCGGCGTCTTGTTTTTCTTATAACAACCCTATCATACTGTCACAACTGAACCAAAACAACATGACACGTGGACATTTCGTATTTGAACTATAAACAATAAAATAAAATATGTCTCTAGAGCTTGAAGTCTATTTTCTTAAGATACATCACGGCTTGTTTGAACTTTCTATACACGGCCATGACTAGAAGTTAAGATGTTGCACAAATCATTCATGAAAAAGTTTAGCTCTTATTGCAATACCCATCATAATCTATCTTTTCATGAAGTTACACTTGTCATGCATTTCAGGCTTGTAATAGAAATATGAGTAAATCGGTAGACCTATCTGTAAAACATGGCCTAATTGATCACTCCATGCAAAATGTTACTCCCTCCGATCCAAAAAAGTGGCATGATTTAGTTCAAATGTGAACTAAAACCACAACATTTATTTTGGATCGAAGGGAGTACATATTTTGTGTACATTGATAGCTACATGATGTTATGCATCTTTCATGGTCTTATTAGAAAAGTTTCAAGTAGTTGAAAATGGTAACCGTGTGCTTTCTTGGGCTACAGGTGCCATCAGGGGCATAGCCAGGCCCCGGCTACTAGGGCCATGGCCTTGGGCATGGCTCTACAATCCTTCGTAAACTGTAGCTATTTTTGACACTGTAGCTACGAGGGTTGGCCCGAGGCGTAGCCCAGCCCTGGCAACGCCACTGGGTGTCATACATTTAAACTATAAATGAAACAAATATATCTATATCTCGAGAGCTTGGAGTCTATTTTCGTATGACACACTAGGACTCATTTGAACTTTCTACACATATCCATGGCTAGCTGTAATACGCCGCTTTAAATCTTTCATGCAAAAGGTTAGTTTAGAGAATAACATATTTTGTCGTAGTTACAGTTGTCATGTGTTTTAGCTTAGCATAAAAGTATGAGTAAAAACAAAACACCTATCTGTCAAGTGTTGTCTAGTTCAATCACGCTGTCCGCGGCACATGTTATGCTATTCATGTATATTGATAAGTGCATATTGTAAAGTTACCAACCGTATACAGAAAAACTCCATACTAAAAACACTCAAGTAGATGAAAATGATGACCTAGACTATCTTTACCTTGCAATTATAGGTGGCATACATTTAAAGAAATTAAACTACACAATTGTGATCGAGCCAAATATACTTCAAGCGAAGTTATAACACTACAATGGTTACATTTTTTCCTGCCAGGATAAGAATAGAATTAATCGATGCTAAAACGACCTCTCCCTCCGTTCACAAGTATAACATGTTTTAAATATTTTTCTAAATCAAATGTATATAGACATATTTGATGTATTTGTTCATCCATTCCGGTCCGTATGTAGTCCACATTGAAATATCCAAACCATTTTAGCACCAAGTTATGAATGGAGGGAGCGGTGCATTTTTGGAGATAAAAGTTAAACAAGGATAAAACCAATTGACGTTAAAACCCAACCACTTTTCGGCGGTAAATCTAGGATCAAGAGACGCCACTGAGCTCCGCGCTACTGGAAAGGTGCAAGGCTCATGACAATGATCGACATCAACTAACTCTCACGTGGCGCAGCTGCTATCGCAGCCCCCCTTCTTCAAGGCCATCATCATCGCGGGGTAGCCGAGACCTGACCAGCCGGCGACAGGGGGCGCCCCACCCTGCGGTGTTGCGGGGTGTGTCAGCGTGTGTGCCCGGAGCAATTCCCCGCCGGACCCCGAGCCGACGTGGCGCGGCTGGATCGCGCAGAAGTAAGCTTCCCTTTCGCCAATCCACATCCCCCAAGTCCTCCCCACACTCCTCCCTCCCTCCCTCCCTCCAATAATTCTCTTCTCTCCTCCTCCTCTCCGCCCCCGCACCACCACCATCGGAGAAAAGCCAGCGGGAAGCGGGGAGGGAAATCAATCCCCATGACCCCGCCCCTCCTCGCCGGACCAGATCCCCGGCGGGCCGGCGCGGAGCCGTAGGCGGGGACCGGCCCGGCCCGGCCGATGGGCGGGGAGGCCCCGGAGCCGCGGCGGCTCAGCCGCGCGCTCAGCCTGGACGGCAGCGGCGTCCCGGAGGAGGCGCTGCACCTGGTGCTCGGCTACGTGGACGACCCGCGCGACCGCGAGGCGGCCTCGCTGGCCTGCCGCCGCTGGCACCACATCGACGCGCTCACGCGGAAGCACGTCACCGTGCCCTTCTGCTACGCCGTGTCCCCGGCGCGCCTGCTCGCGCGCTTCCCGCGCCTCGAGTCGCTCGGGGTCAAGGGCAAGCCCCGCGCCGCCATGTACGGCCTCATCCCCGACGACTGGGGCGCCTACGCCCGCCCCTGGGTCGCCCAGCTCGCCGCCCCGCTCGAGTGCCTCAAGGCGCTCCACCTGCGCCGCATGGTCGTCACCGACGACGACCTCGCCGCCCTCGTCCGCGCCCGCGGCCACATGCTGCAGGAGCTCAAGCTCGACAAGTGCTCCGGCTTCTCCACCGACGCCCTCCGCCTCGTCGCCCGCTCCTGCAGGTACTGCCGCAACTTCTCTCGATTCGCTATCCTCTATCGCGCTCTGATCTGCGAGTGGGAGAAGTAACAGGCCCGAATTGGGCTTCGCCAGGCAGGGATACAGTGACTGGATGCAGAATCCAGCGGCCGCTTAGTTGATGTCCCGAAGTAGCAGGGGCAATGATAGAGCACCGGGCTAAATATCCATTTCCCTAAGTAGAAACTTGTTCTACGGCGGGGCAATGTTTACCCAAAGCAGCTCGAGATCTGGACGCCCATTATACGGCCCGTACTCTCCTAGCATGAACGATGATGGTGCGACCATAGCAAAGCAGAATTCATTGCCCCTGCTTACAGTTACTCCATTGGTAATTTGCATGGCTGGCGTTCGTTGCCTTGTAAGCGTAGCGTATCTACCTTGTGCCTTTTGCTTCCTTCATAATTTGATTGATTGAACGCCCTGCATTCCGGTTGTTGATGATGTTGCATAAGAGTCCATTTCACAGCATTTATTACCCCAAGCAATTTGCAAGAGGTCACCGAATCTGGCAGGAACAAAGTGTGAGGTAGCCGGATGCCAAAGCAATAGTGATTGACTTGACCAAAGCTCGCTCGTCTTTTACTGGAATCGTACCGTTGTAGTACGGAATTAATATTCAAGTTGTTTCTGTTACTACCAGTGTCAGGGTGACCATGTTTATATGCCTTTCTCAGTTCCTTTTTCAAATTTGCTCTAGTTTGATAATCCTGAGGAGGGAGCTTTGGATACGTTCTATGAAAGAACTAGTGTTACAAAATGTAAATATACAATAAATCTGGTTGTTATTCGTTACTGAGTGTATTCTGAACGAACCAATTGAAGTAAGCAAATTAAACAAAACAGCTATTTAAGGTTGTGCCACCATATTAACCCATTTTGACATATTGAGTACGTACTAAAAGGTCATCTAAATGAACCCCAAACTTAGTAAGCTACAAATGCTTCGAATGTTTCATACATGCCACTGCAAAGAGCAGAGTGGCTTCACTCTGAAGACTACCCAGCTGCTTAACAAAAGCTCAAAAACAACCTGGGCTCTAGAATATGCTAATTTACTTTTGTATTTATCTTAAGAGAGAGTAATACATTTTTTTACTTAATAAGTAGGAACTGTGGTACATTTATAGTCCGTCTTCATTTGTTTCTCTTTGTTGCACTCCTTTATTGCATGACCACCCTGTTTTGCTTATTTTGGTGCATTGTTAGTATCATGATACAATCACTGCACTAACATGTTGCACGAAATTGAGCAGATCACTGAGAACTTTGTTTCTGGAAGAATGTACAATTACTGATAATGGCACTGAATGGCTCCATGACCTTGCTGCCAACAATCCTGTTCTGGTGACCTTGAACTTCTACTTGACTTACCTCAGAGTGGAGCCAGCTGACCTCGAGCTTCTCGCCAAGAATTGCAAGTCACTAATTTCGTTGAAGATTAGCGACTGCGACCTTTCAGATTTGATTGGATTTTTCCAAATAGCTACATCTTTGCAAGAATTTGCTGGAGCGGAAATCAGTGAGCAAAAGTATGGAAATGTTAAGCTTCCTTCGAAGCTTTGCTCCTTCGGACTTACCTTCATGGGGACAAATGAGATGCACATAATCTTTCCTTTTTCTGCTGTACTCAAGAAGCTGGATTTGCTGTACAGTTTCCTCACCACTGAAGATCATTGCCAGCTCATTGCAAAATGTCCAAACCTACTCGTTCTTGCGGTAATGGCGGTGCTTGTACATTATGAAGGTATTCAACTACCGATCTTTTTCATTGTAACTAATATCCTAAATGTGCTTTACAGGTGAGGAATGTGATTGGAGATAGAGGATTGGGGGTTGTCGGAGACACATGCAAGAAGCTACAAAGGCTCAGAGTTGAGCGAGGGGAAGATGATCCTGGCATGCAAGAAGAGGAAGGCGGAGTTTCCCAAGTAGGCCTAACAGCGATAGCCGTAGGCTGCCGTGAACTGGAAAACATAGCTGCCTATGTGTCTGATATCACAAATGGAGCCCTGGAGTCCATCGGAACGTTCTGCAAAAACCTCCATGACTTTCGCCTTGTCCTGCTTGACAGACAAGAGACGATAACAGAATTGCCGCTGGACAGCGGTGCACGCGCGCTGCTGAGCGGCTGCACCAAGCTTCGGAGGTTCGCTCTGTACCTGAGACCAGGGGGGCTTTCAGATGTAGGCCTCGGCTACATCGGGCAGCACAGCGGCACCATCCAGTACATGCTTCTGGGTAACGTCGGGCAGACGGATGGTGGACTGATCAGTTTCGCAGCCGGGTGCCGGAACCTGCGGAAGCTTGAACTGAGGAGCTGCTGCTTCAGCGAGCGGGCTCTGGCCCTCGCCATACGGCAAATGCCTTCCCTGAGGTACGTGTGGGTGCAGGGCTACAGGGCCTCTCAGACCGGCCGCGACCTCATGCTCATGGCGCGGCCCTTCTGGAACATCGAGTTCACGCCTCCCAGCACGGAGACCGCGGGCCGGGTGATGGAAGACGGGGAGCCCTGCGTTGACAGGCAAGCTCAGGTGCTGGCGTACTACTCCCTCTCTGGGAAGAGGTCCGACTACCCGCAGTCTGTTGTGCCTCTGTATCCTGCGTGAGTGTAAATACATTAAGCCGGCATGGTGTCTCTCTGGGACGGCCCCTGGCTGGCTGGCCCTCTGCGCTTCTCGGGCAATAAGGATGTTTGTATGTGGGTATTGTATGGGTCTGGATCTGGTAGATTTTCTAGCTGCTGTGTACTGGAATAAGCGCATTGGTATTTTTGCCTGGTATAACTCCTATCTAATCCTAGGAAGATGCATACGTACTAAGTAACACTGTGCGAGTGCAGCTGTGACACTGTTACGCTTGCTTCGCAGGCATAAGCTTTGCCGGGTTTTCGCGGCCTGCGCAAGATTTTCTCTGTTGTACTACATGTAGATGCTCCGCCACGTTTGGCTTCGCTGCCGGTGAGCCGGCCGGCGAGGTTTCGGTTCGGTAGTTCTACGCCAAGCCTATTATAATGTAACTAGAGCTGCCGTGGCTTTGGCATCACTAAGCGAAAAACGCGACAGCGATCCAGGACCGGCGGATGAACTGTGCAGCAACAAGAAGCCACAGTTCTGTGATTGATCAGTACTGTAGTAGCTTAGCCCAGGAAACATGCTAGTTTTGGCAGGTAGCACGTGACGGTGACAAGGATGCCCTCGTCGGCATCGCCCAAAACTCTAACGTATGTATCCACGTAATGCACGCACCACATGGATATGGTCGGCGTCTTCGCGTGCTCCAAAGATAGAAGAATATCAATCCGGATCAGAAAGAAGAGAAAAGAATGCAACTGCATCTACCAGTCGCGGGCCATGTTACTGCTGATTCTACCGGCGCAAATCAAGAGGGTAGATGCCTTTCATCAAACGCAAATCCAACGCGCCAACCTAGATTGTCCATGTGTGTCTGTTTATGTCCAAGCGGATAAAAACACCGGCTCAATGTGCTGACCCAAACACAAAAGTCGTCCACTCATTGTTCGTCTGGACGCATTTATGGCTTAAATTTGCGTCTGATTTACGTCCATGTGGAAACGAGACAGACGTGCCGTGTGTCCGCTCGGTGTCCGCCTTGAGGGCGCGTGTCGGCCGCACAACTACTGTCGCGTGCGGTAGTCAATGCGTCCACCTAACCCGAGCCCACATGGCAGCGTCTGGAAGCCTCTGATGCGCTCGTTCTTTT